AGCAGCCGCTGGCCACTCATGGAGCAGGAGCAGGAGCAGGGGGGGAGGGAGGTGGCTGCTCGCACAGTGGCAACAGTGCAGCATGGTGGGTGGTGGTGGCCACATGCAAGTTTTCCCTCCCTGCCCCACCATGTCCGGCCAGCTGGCTGGAAATTCTGGTTACAAGAGTATGCCAGTTAGTAAAATCCCAGATAACAGAGATTTTACTGTACTCCACAAGATGCCACTCAGGATTTCCAACAATTACAGTCCCCTCAGTTTACTTCTCAACCAACTTGAGCTTCTTGCCTGTGTATTGTTGAAGTCCACTAAATGCAAATAACCTTTGTCAACATAGTATATGTATGTCCATTCAGATAATTTTCAACACAACCGTTGAGACAATTAACATTTACATTTAGTCTTGACAAAGTAACTCAATCATGGATTCTGGTAAAATATTAAAATTTAATTATATCTGCTTAACATATAACTATATGAAAGCATGAGAAAAAGTATTCAAACAAACTGATATACGTCTAAAACAATATATACAAATTCTAACTGCAAACTGACCATGAAGTCACGAATACTTAAATATTTGGTACAATATAGTGTAAATTTTAATATAAATTAGATATTAAATTCCATTTGCTTACTTTAGTGACAATAGTCTATTCTTTACATGTTATATACATTAAAATACTAAAAAGTTAAAAAAATCTTTTTGATATAGGTACTATGCAATATATGGGAAAATACATCAGATTTGCTATTTTATACACTATCTAAATTAAACTTTCTACACTGTTCTGTGAAAAAATAAATGGCACTCTTACATGCATCAAGGCATATAATACGAGTCTGTATGTTACCAGTATACCATTTCAGTGAAAGGTAAACTAAAACGCAAATGTCCGTTCAACCACATACTTGAAAATCTAAAATGAAGACTGGTGTAAACAGATTCTGACAAACCCTCTGATTAAGATTAAACTAACATAAAGAAGAAAGTACACTATTTTCCATATAAAGCTACCAATAAACCAATGAAAATAGAACATACTATGAAATATGAGTCATGTTAACAGTTCACAAACTTACTTAAACAACATATAATGGAGAAGAAAAACTGATCTTTTATGAATTTTAAAAGTCAGCCTCTCCTGTGGACTGCAGCATCTAGGCTGATTTCTGTTGACAGTTTCCTAAATTACTTCTGCCACTCTGAATTGCACATCGGTAGTCAGATGAGTTTTCTACACTTCATTATGCCATTGTGTAACCATAGCTTCCACAGTGTAACGCTACAAGAAGCCTGTCCTTAAGGATTTCTTTACTTGGATATTCAGGTAACTTGAGCATGTTGATACTGAAAAGAAGGGAAGAAAGCATCACAATTAAATATGAGATCTAAGAATAAAATTTTCTGATTGCTTTGTATTAAGTAATTAATGTGAAATTGTCCTCCCAGATTTGCATTAGAATCAGAAAACCCCAAAGATGTCATATTTATGAAAAAACGCACTGCTGCATTGCAGTACCTTTCAGCATTCAAATGTACTGCAAGAAAATAAGTTCCTTTTGGCTTAAAATAAAAAGCAATACAGTAATTTAGCTTCAAGTGTCCCTTAGTGATATTGTACTGCCTTCCATTAAAATACAATAGAATAGGTAGAATTTTTTCCTTCAACAACAGGGAAGAAAATGTAACTACCTATTGCTTGTAATAACTAGTTTTCTATTAGAGAATAGATACATTGCAAACTGACCAAAGGGTCTCCTTTTAATGAGATGATACCAAAGGGTTACACCTTCCATTTTTGGGGGTGTAAAAAAGTTAATGAAAACAATGAAAGGAATGCGTTCATTTTCTTAATGCATTTAAATGAGGCTATTTAACATACCACGTGCTCGATGTTGGGAGCAGATTTGGAGTGTATGGCACAGCAGCTATTGTAAAATTTTGCAGTCCACTGCCACCCATTATATGAGCAAAGCCACCGTGAGGCACCCTGGAACTGAAAACATCCACAGATTATAAAAACATGAAAAGGGCAATTACAATCCAAAAACATAGCTTGTACAGAAAAATCCGTCACATATAGTATCCAATCGCTAATGGCTTTGCAAGTCCCATTGTCAAAATGCAATTATACTATTACATTAAAAGAGGTGTTTTCTCATTAACATTAGTTGTTAAACTATTTAGCTACTATTAAGAGAGGCTTTGTACTTTCTCGAGAGACTCATTCTTAGCAACTGGTCCTTTTCTTAGTGCAGACTAAATTCGGTATTACTTAATAGTTAAGAAATACTGTAAGTTAAAAACTTCCCTTCCCATGACTTGTTCTGAGTCTGATCAAAATGTTCTTGATGTCTCTGTATCATTACAAAGACTCAAAATTAAATACTGTGGTACTTCTTACAATGAAGTAAATATATTAAAGGAAGGTGATTTAATACAGTAATTATCTTTTGCAATACTGTGAAATGTTAAATACCTAAGAATGACCATAAACTTGTCTATAAAAAGTATTTTTGTAATAATAAAAAACCCCACAGTATCTACACCATAAGTGACCACATTTACAAAAAAAAAAAATCTCCTAAAAGTGTAAGTGACAACCTCCTGTGCAGAATTCAAAGACAATTTACAGGATGGTCCACTATAGTAACGTACAACCATTCATTTTAACAATATCAACTTATACTTTCATTTTAGTCTGTAACATACAGGAAAATGTTAAAGCAGGAACGGGCAAAATATGGCTCGCAAGCCAGGTATGGCCCTCCAACTGACTGGATCTGGCTCGCAGATGGGCACCTACAAAATGATTGTATCTGGCCCTTGGCTTCCCCCATGGTAAACTTCCTAGTAAAGCTGCAGCCAGCCAGGTACTGCTTAGT